ACCGTACGGTTTGGCCTGTTCTTCACACCTGCAAAGTGTAAAGTGCTGCTACAAGACTGGGTTGGATCAAACTCAAACCTCATGCTTGCAGGTGAGTCAATCGAAGTGGTGGATAAATTTGTTTACCTGGGCAGATGCACAAGTTCCGGTGGACTGGCTAGAGAGGAGATAACTTCTTGAATTTTAAAGGCCAGGGCAGCTTTGCCAACTTCCGACACCTATGGCGCCGACGTGACGTCAGTTTGTCTGTTAAGCGCAGAGCCCAGTAAATACGCCACCGCTGGCAAGAGGTGGCAAATAGGGGTGGCATGTTACGCTTGCCACCGGTGGCTAAAAGCGGCCAAAGGTGGCAACCCAAAAGTTCACGACACTTAATCAGTGGTACATTCAAACAAATCGGTTTCAAAAATTACTTTGTAAATAGTATCCAGAATATCCTATTACATTTGTTTTCAGGAATTGAAGTTCCGTAATCATCCTCAAAGTAATAATCGTCATCAGTGTTGACACTGATGCTCCCCTGCCATAAAAGCATGAAGTTTACCTACTTATATTTAAAGCCTTAAAATGAATAGAAAAAAGAGTGGGTGGGGGACCTAGTGCTGGCGTTTAGTAATCATTCAGAGGTGCCTACAAATATAAGCGCTCAATCAGACAATATGGAAAGAAACTGGCAGCACGAACGCCATTGGCATCGATCAGCCTCCATTTCTTACAATGTCTCCAGCCAAGAGCAGGAGGAGTCATGGTAATCCCATCCTGTAAGGCGTAAAACACCAACAAAACCAATACTCTTCGTAATCTGTTTCATACCCTTCTGTCAAGTCATACTTTGCCCACCTCGTGGTTTGCGTCATTCTGAAGGAAGCGCGAAGAATAACACTCATCTGCGTATGCAGTGCTTCGACATGCGTAGGATATGGCCGAGTCGTCGTATTCGACTGTGTTGGACGTTTCCCTGTTAGAGCAAATACCCGGTTTCTGATCACCTCGTTACTAGTCCGTTGACGTTATCCAAAACTAGCAGCGCTTCTGAGGCATCCGTGTTAAAAAACGGAAGACGCTCCACATCACCGTCAAAATCCAGTGATATGCCTTTTTTATGCCACAGGCGACTCAACTTAGCAAACGTGATTCGAGCCTTTGAGGTTCTTGCACTGACGTCAGAGACTTCTAACATTCTCCACAACCTCCATCGGTTCTCGTTAAATTGTAATAAGTATGTTCAAAGACTGAAAGTTCTGAAGCATGACGTTGCACTTTGGTGGTGCTAGATGCATGCCGAATGATGGTATGACGGTGGTCAGTATATTCAACAGGGTTTGTGCTTCGGCTTGGTCTTCAAAGATGAGGGCGATGCCGTCTGAGTACTCCTGGTCGACGAGGTTCTCACAAGCAACAGTTTGAACACTGGAGTATTGAAAACCTTCCGGTGTTCACCACATTATTTCATCAGTGACGAAGTTGAACAATAATGGAAAGAGTGGACACCACTTCTTGTAGGGAAGCTTTTAGGGAGCTCACCACATACTCTCACTCGCCCAGAAGTATGCGAATATAGGCATCAGATTATTTTCACAAACTTCTGGGGTATAGCCTCTGAGCAAGTGTATTTAACAGCATTGACCGGTCGACAGAATTGAACGCACCTTTGAATTCAAGGAACATTAGATTCGTGGGTCGTCTGTACATGTGGTATTGCTCCAATACCTGAAAATGGTGTTGTTTGGGGCGGTTTCTTTCTCCCAGACAGACCAAAACGGAGTAGGCAGGCACTGACTGAGAAACCCGCCGCATCATTGTACAGAACGGATGAAATGTCGTTGGTACAAACAGCACGATGACGCTTGAGTAGAGCTGTGCACTCGGATACTTCTGAGGTTGTAGGTGGCTCCGTTTTCACAGTGCACCTTTCTGCTGAAGGCCATGATTCCGGATTAGAGGTAACAGGTGGCCAGCTGAATTGCTGTTCGAAGTATGGCGCTCAGCGGTCCAACCATTCTTCTTTGCTGGATATCAGAGAGCCATTCTGGTTCCTGATAATTTCGCTGACAAGAGGCTTTCGAGGACCGTCGAACGGATCAAGTAGAACGGCCTGCGGACATTTCCAACATTTTTGCCTCTTCCATTTCTTCGGCTTTCAGGTCCACCAAACGTTGCAGTCTGCTTTAACGCAGTCCAAACTGGCGTCGGGTAGTGTTGTGGTTGCGGCCAGAAGGGAATCTGTCGCCAGGCCTCCAGCGAAGCCGTGGTCCTATCGGAATCAGTGCTTAGATGATGTTGGCTGGGTTGTTCCGCAAACAGAATTTCCGACTCTGGGTAGCGCTTTGTTTATCTTTTCCCAGTGGCCATTTATGTCTGACATCGGGCCGTCCGGTAGGCGTTCGAGAAGCCTGCCTGGTTCTGATAGTTTCGTTTGATTTTTTGGTCCACTCGCTTCTCACTGGCTAACGTTTTGTGTAAACCTGTAAAGCAGCAACGTACAAGTGGATGGTCGGGGTCCACATTGGTTTTCCAGAAGGAGCGGCAAGCAGTGATCGACCCTTACCACCGATAGCTGACGACAGTGTGGTCTGTTTGGATTCGAGGCTGGTTGGTTGGTAAACACCGCGTTGTCAAGCGATTTCCGCTGTTCCGGGTATCGGTACTGCAAAGGAACGGTCTGTGACCGGCGCACATCTGAAGCAGGCAATCTTCGCTGTCTGTGTGTCTCGTGTCAAATCCAAAAAAATCGTACAGCCGTAGCATTCTTCCGGTGCCTAGCTGTCATCCAAAGGAAGAAAGCACGAGGGCTGGGATATTGCCAAGTTACCCAAGCCTAGACAGGAGCAGTCGAGATGTTGACGTTAGGTTCAAACCACGGACCTTCTGGTCCGTAAGCTGGCACCCTAACCACTGAGCTCTCTGTAGTCCAGTCTAAGACGGCCACCCAATCGGGCATCACCAGCGCTTAGCCTACTTATCTGGGCGTTCATGTCACCAGCAACCACAACAATATCTGAGCTTTTAGTCCATTTTAAAAGAGCACCTAGATCGTCATAAAAACTTTTCTTGGCAAATTCAGAGCTACAGTCATTTGGGGGCGTAATCAGGCACAGTAAACAGGGTGCGATGGACATCAGTTTCTCTATATTCTCTCACAGACGTTGCCAAACGAACCGCGCGGAGGCGACTATGTGCTATCTTTGTCCTCTGATGGATCAAATGACCGGTAAATGACAACCGTGAGACACTTGTCGCTGCCGCGTGAACTAATGATACCGAAAAACGCCCCTGGCATGTTAAGCACTATGCTGTTCAAGACTACTGAAATGTCTCAAATCCGTAATTGATGTAGATTCTGTTTCTTATGCTGTGCGTTACGTGATACTAATTCGCATCTTTCCTGAGTGGCGGATCAAGTAACGCAGCAAAATAGATTGCAAATGAGCCAACAAGAAGAATACTTTATTCATTGATGGAATTTTTAATATGGTTGCATGCGATTGTGAGCAGTGGCGTTTCATTGAGGAAAAAACGGGTGTGGAGGTTACACAATGCAGTCTAGAAATGGCTCTGCTTCACCAAAAACAACACCGGAGCTCGGTTTGTTAGTTATCATCTGTTCCATGATGGATTGTCCGGAGAAACCTGCGGAATCTCCCTACTGAACTCTGACTACCTTTTTCCTAAGACAAACCGTGTTAGAAGCGGGTATCATGGGGTGAACTTTACACCAGTGTCATCGAGTTCGTTGACCATGGCCTCCATCGTTATGATCTAAAGCCGCAGATGAGTTAGTGTAGCTGAGGAGACTTGAGTAACCAAATTGATGTTTATTCAGGATAAAATGGGTGTACTGTGACTGTACTGAGGGTAAAGGTGAGGCGTTCATATTGGCTGAGTATGAGTAACAAGGTTCTGGTTCAGTTGAAATAGGAAGAGGCTGACGGGGATTGTTATACCCTTTGGTTCGATTGGTCGACGAATTGTCGCTGGGTCCACTTCCAATTACTTCTTCGACCGCCGTCGGAGCCAAGCGATGGAAGTCGAGCGTTTACCTATGTTGCATGCATTCCAGCTTAACATCCACTCAGGAAGAGTCAGTTCAAGATTGTGTGGAAATATTCGTTCATGGGGCGTCATGTTTATTGCCATGATGAGTAATGGCCTGAGAGTGTGGAGGGCTTGGGAGTATCATCATCATCAGACAGCGATATCAGTGTTAGCAGTGATGCTTCACTGCCGTACAACCATGAGGTTCGTCTAGTTATATATATATATATATATATAATTATATTAAAAGTCCTAGGGTGAAAAAAAGAGTGAGGGACGGGGGACCTAATGCTGGCCTATGTCAAGCATACTGTGGTGCCTACACCTCCAACCGCTCAATCAGACAATCTGGAAAGAAACTGACAGCACGAACGCCACTGACATCGATTAGCCGCCATTTCTTG